TTTCCAGCCAGATCACACACACATCTGTCCTGCTGTTGATCCATCTGCACTCTGTATTGGAAGCCAATTACTCCTCTTACCGAAGGTCTTGGGGTAGAATTCATAGACTCATAGAGTGGTTTGGTTAGAAGGGACCTCAAAGATGGTCTAGTTCCAACCCCCCTGCCATGGGCAGGGACACCTCCCATCAGACCAGACTGATCAAAGCCTCATCCAACCTGGCCTTGAACACTTCCAGAACCTGACCCTGAACACTGCCAGGGATGGGGCAGCCACAGCTTCTCTGGGTAACCTGTGCCACTGCCTCACCACCCTCACCATGAAGAATTTCTTCCTTATATCTCATTTAAACCTTCCCTCTCCCAATTTAAAGCCATTGCCCCTTGTCCTATCACAACAGACCCTTGTCAAAAGTCCCTCCCCAGCTTTCTTGTAGGTCCCTTTGAGGTACTGGAAGGCTGCTCTGAGGTCTCCCTGGAGCCTTCTGTTCTCCAAGCTGAACAGCCCCAGCTCTCTCAGTCTGTCTTCAAAGGAGAGGCGCTCCAGCCCTCGGATCATCTTCGTGGCCTCCTCCGGACTCACTCTAACAGGTCCATGTCCTTCTTGTGTTGGGGGCCCCAGAGCTGAAGGCAGTACTGCAGGGAGGGTCGCAGCAGAGGGGCAGAATCAGCTTGACCAGGAGTCAAGGGAAAATTCATGACAAAGGATGGTAACTATAAAGAGCATATACTAGAATTAGCTTTAAAATTAGTATAGATATTATATCAGAAAATTATATTTTAAACCTACTTTTTATAATAACTTTTGTAAAATGGCAAGGAGTAAATAACAGGTGACTTAGAATGTGTAAAAACGTCATTAGTCTATTAACACTGTCTGGTTGAGTTCTGTCATCTTATAAAAGCTGTCTTGAATACCTTGGGGCAAAATTTTTTAGTTGCTTCAAGTCAGTCAAACTCACAATTTACCCTCGAGTACTCATCACCAAGAATGCCTGTAATATAAGTGTAGGGGCTGCTGATGGTGGGGAAGGGGGGTTGTAATAATAAATATTTTCTCTTTGAGCCTCTTTCATACTCTGGCTATATTAAGGAAATAGGTCAAACGTCTTTTCAGACACAGTCTATGTGGAAACTGCCAGCTTGTTCTGAAACAGCAATAGAGTCTGTATGCTCTGATTCAAAACATACCAGACAAGGTAACTCTCCACGTTGTTCTTCAAGAGTCTTTCAAAACCTGTGTAAGCAAGCAGGGAACTAGCAGTCTGGAGTTTGCCACCTGGTTAGCTGTGCAGCTGGCAAGCCTGGGATTTCAGAGGGGTCTAGACTCCATGGCTCCAGAACAGGAGGCAGGAAGACCCCAAAAGTTATCCATAAGCTTGGATGCCTTTGATCTGATACCCCTACATGGCATTTAGGAATTTGCAATATATTAAGTTATTAATAAAGCTGTAACAATAATTTTTTGAGTTTCTGCATGTGCTTCCAAAAAACCCCCCTCTTTTCCTTTACCTCCCCGTTCTTTTCAAAGTTTTACATGGAAAGGATATTCTAACTTCTGATGGTCTCTATCCTTAGGTAGTTATGGATTATGGTTATTAACAATGATTAACTTAATTCTTTGAATGAGATGCAAGCAGGTAATAGCATGTTGCTACTCATTTAGGCTTTGATTCACAAAGTACATGCTTACCTTCATTTAGTTGATGTTTGGTTGGATGTTAGAGCTCCTACCATATGGCTGTAGGTGCTCTAACATCTGATCAATAATGGAATTAAACCTCTAACAGTAAAGACACACGTCTTGTATTCGTGAATAAACTGAAGGCGGGGAAACCTTTCTTGACTTCTCACTAACGCTTTTTATAACTCGATACAAATCTGGAACAGAAGGGGTGACAGAATGGCTCCCTGCAGCACCACACACTTCCGAACTTACCAGGAACAGAAGAAGTGATCGCAACTAGCTATCAGGGTCTCTTGGAGAAAATAGAGCAGGTGTCAGTGAGATTCCCACAAGTCTTTTCAGTAACCTTGATGCAAAGTATTGCTGAGCTGAGGTAACCTTTGTGGTCTTATCAAGGAATGTAGAGAGTTAACAAGAAATAACACTGCAATATATATTATGTATTTAGTGAAACTGTAGACCTGTATTCAACCCGGCAGACCCATTTTTGTGTGTTAGCGCAGTCGTTCATTTCCTACTGCGTTACCTCTGCCAGATGAAGCCAAGTATAGAAGAATGCCATGAAGATTAATCCTGGATCTCCCTCTGCAAAAGTTAGGCATGCTACTGTGGTTAAACGTAGTGTACTTTTAGCTCAGCATCTTAGATCAGGTGTAAGTTTAATAGAAAACCTGCCTGGTTGACGTAACTGAACAGCACTCTCTGATTTTGCAAACTCACATGTTCCAGTAGCGCTTTGTGTCTGCACAATACTTAGGGGTGTTCTTTCCGTTGCAGCATGAGCTAAGGGCCGAGTATCTTACCTGATCACTGGGCATCATTTTTGGCAGTGCAGAGTGTCCGATGCTTCCAGTGGAACATTCATCTTGCCTCTGTCAGGGGTCTGTATTAGACCTACTTACAAACGCATTCACAAAGAACAATTTTCAGGAGGCAATGAAGTAGGAACAGAAGTCTAAAGCCATCAAAGCCCTTTGCCCCTCCTCCCCCCCCTTCCTTGAAGTAAGGATCTTAAAGACTGCTTGAAACAATGCTGAGTAAAATGCTTTCAGGGATATGGCTCTTAAGTTCATTGCATTCATGTGGATCCTACAGCCAGTATCATTAAGTATTTGAGTGCCGTTTTAGCTCCTTAGAAGCAAAGAATTCAAAATAATTTTAGTATTAAATTAAACGCTTACTGTTTGCATGACTTCTATTGCCTTATTTACATGCGTATTTTTCAGGTATGTAAGACTAAATTTGTTCTTCAGCAAAATAAGATTAATGTAGAAATGTTAGTGATTTGTATGCCATTGCTCACTGAACGTCAGCAACGCAGCCGAAGCTGTTCAGATAGGAAAACTCTTAGGAGGACAAAGCAGTAGTGCTGAAACTGTGTGTTGTCTATTAAAACTTAAGTAAGAGTTAAGGATGCTTTATGTAAACATATCAAAGCCACCTGCTAGAAATCATTTTGGCTCTGCAGTGTTCCAAGAGTTCTATACTTGTTGGGTCCGAAAATAAGTATCATGTTGCATTTCATAGCTTGTGCACGGTATCAGCAGTGGTTCAGTTCCAAGCTAAAAGAAGACTTCAAAATGGTGTCTCCTCTAGCAGCCTGAAAGCACTGTAGGAATTTGAGGCTTTAACAATAATCTGTAGCTGTTACAGAAATCCAAAATTTCAGTCAAAGACAATTTATCAAAAAATGAATAAAATAGCATTTGCCTTAATTTTGAAAAGATCACCTAGAAATCCTCAGAGGTAGTTTGCTGATAGTTGCAGCGTAAAAAAAGAATGTAATAAAACTTTATTCATTGCCACATATCTATTTCCATAGTTCTTAAGAAGGTTAATGTGCATCTTTTTTTGTCACAAAACTGACTGAACAATAGCAGCAGAGTTCAGATAGTTTCTGAAAATCAGTAAGTTTTTCAAGCAGTGGAGAATCTGGCTTCATTATGAATACAAGGGAATACAGCAATAGGCATGTTACCTCAGAGGTACAGTTAATTCCAGGTTCCTGTTGAGTTGAGCTGGAATTCTGTTTAGATATTTTGTTTGTTTGTATTAATTAGTATCTTGAGTCTCCCATTATAAAAAGGGTCCCTGATGCCTGCCTTCCAACTTACTCCAACATAGTCGGGCAGTTTATACTTTTATTTTTTGAAGCTGTATTTCATAAAAAAATCTGATTTTTCCCTTTGTTTTACCCTGAACTTGATGTGGGAACAGTGCAGAGGGAGAATGACTTTTTTTAGCCCTCAGTATTTTGGCCTCCAGTGTGTCTGCCTACTCAGTAAAGTAAATTATAGTGGGCAGCATATATGTAATGATACAGTTGAGACTGGCCAGTATACCAAATGCCATTGGAACACTTTTATGCATTTATCTTTGTATCTCTAAAAGAGCCTGAATAGAAGATGTGTTAAAGCTCCTGATCCTAAGGAAAAGCTGTGACATAAACTGGCAGTAGATGGAAAATATTGCCTAGTTTGTCCTGTGACATACCATCAATAGATTAAAGTCACCTGTTAATGCAGGGTGTTTGCTTTTTCTACAGTTGTAGTTTGGTTTTGTGGAGTTTTACTATTTGTTTGTTTGCATTTACTGTATAGAGTTGGGATATCCAAATAAAGAGATTCAACCTTTGCATGCATTTTAGATTACTTTGGTGCAAATTACTACTTTTAAAAAGCATGTTGACGTATACTGACTTGATTTCCTACCTATTGACTCCATTGGGAGTTTTGAAGTGGATTCCTGTGGATGCCAAGGCACATGCCCTGATTCTGTGCATAGCAATACAGTGAGCAACATTAAGAGTGTTAATGTTGTCTGTAGAGACACATTAAATCGCTGGATGAAACCAGCCATATCTCCTGCTTATAAACCATTGAAAAAGACCTGGTAACTTCAGCTGCTTAAAAAAAACATTCAGAGACCTACTCTTTGTATCTTTCAGTTTGCACAAAGGAGTGAATAAAGCTTACAAGCAGCTTTTAAGAATATTTCCCCATTCCTATCTGGGAGTAATTTTTAGTTTATGGTTTCAAGACCAGAAGTCAATCACTAGTTTTTTATCGCAGAGCAAATGTTTACAACAGAGATACTAAACACTTGAAAATAGAGTAGCTTATAATGGAAGCAAGAGCTCATCTTTAACTTTGGAAGGACAAGCAGTACCAATTTAATTAAAGCTGTGTTAAAATAGGACTGTCACTTGTATCACAGTGATTCTCCACCCCTCTGAGAAGTCCTGCTGCCATTTTGTACCACACGTTCTTGTCTTGTGCAAATTAATAGATCGTTTTATTTTCCGCAGGAAATCTGAAGACTTTTATAGCAAATCCTCCAGTGTCAAAATGAACACAGGTATGCTGCTTCTGTGAGATTTTTCTTTACTCTTATGTGTTGTTTAGTAAGTAGAGAAGGTCCCAAATTTTTTAAATTTTTATGAACAAATTGTACTTTAGTTGGTGCAGAACTCAAATTAAGCAAGGTGTTTTAATAGTATGTCTGCTTATATGCATTTGTATTCCATATATAAAATTTACATACATGTTTTTCTATGTATGATATATATGGATATGTAAAATGTACATGCACGTTTCGCTTTCTGTGCTTAGTTATAAGTATCAGTTTTGTATGTGTATGTTTTATGTAAAAATATGTAGTATGAGGACATAAGACCTATGGAAAAGTGGTGTTAAAGCATCACATTTTCCTAAGAAAATGCACGTGCTTTAAAAATGCTTTGTTTTCATTCTATATTGTCATTAAATTAAGGAGCATATAAATACTACTACTCTGTGTTAGTAGCTACACTTGCATAATCAGATGAGGATAACTTTTTTGTACTTACAGGAATTTGTATTTTCTCTCAAGTTGCTGTGATACATGTATTGACCAAATGAAGCACTCAATAGGAAGTTACCTTCATGATCTGTAACAACATACTAATATTTGCTCTTGAATCATTGAATTCAATAGATCGTGCTGCTGGTTTTGCTGGTAGTGGGAATAGGCTCTTGAAAGCAGACTGGTGAAATCCTGGCCTCACTCATGTCAGGTGTAAATTTTCAGTTGCGATCAATTCTTTATACTCCATAGGTGAACTGTGTGGTTTGCGGATTAGCTGTGACACAAGAGTAGACATATCCATCCTTTCCAAACCAGTTGGTTTTATCACTGATCATAGTGCTGCACTGTGACAACTGACATGACAACTTGAAATAAGCAAAATATGCCATGTGGGACCTGAGGACCTGAACTACCTTTGAAGCCAGTTTGGGTGTTTCAGCAGCACTCTCTAAATCAAAGGGAGTAGCTTTTCCATGATATAGGTTGCCGTTATCTAGGCTACTGTATTAATCAGACTTCCTGGCTCCCCATGGTCTCAGACAATGACTGGAACTCAGTAGGACTGGGTTCTTGGATAGATTTTTTTAATATAAAGTTAAAATATATTGACTCACTTGAAACTGCTACATTTGTAAATATAATAAGGAGGAGAAATTAAATTTCTCAGTTGAGTTTGTGGGTTTTTTCCCCAGAGTTTTGGTGGTTGTTAGTTATTTTACAGACACTAACCAGGGTGGTGTGTGTTTCACTTACGGAAATACTATTTGAAATTTGTCCTATTCTCTTGTATTTTTAGTGGAGATGTCTTTCCTAAACATGTCAGTTTGTATAATTAAGGAGGTAGTGAAATACTGCTTGCTTCGTAGCACTGTAATTTCAGAAGTAACTCAGCTAATGATCATACATTTGACTGTGATTACATTGTGCATTGCAATCATATGAGTTAAAATCATATGATAGATGTCATTTTATAGCTTCTACTTTGAAAGATGTGGATAGAGTGGTAAATTGCCACTTTGTTGTACTGCAGCTCTGAAGTATGACTTTGTTCTGTCTTGTACTAAGATTTTTTTCATGTAAGCTAGGAATTCTCGACAGAAATCGACATCAGATTTAGGTAATCTATGTGGCTGAATGCCTTCTATTGGGGATTGGGAGTCTTCTGATCACACAGGAGCCTGGAAAACAGACTTAAAAGGTACCTGAATACACCTGAAATGCTTTCCGGTTACCTAAGAATATCATGATAGTGAGCTGAACTTTAATCTACTCTGCATTTACACAGTGAAAACATTTTTCATTTTGTGTATGCTTGGTATTCATGCTCATGTTACCAGCTGCACTGAAAGGAGGTATTGACAAAAATGTGGTGTTTCCTATCAGTTCTATTGATGTAGGTTGTTTCCTGAGTGAGTAGGGTGTAAAAGTGAACATCTTACACCTCTCTCTTGATGAAGCATCACTTTACTAAAGAAGAGAGTGACTGAGGTGGAAGCGGTTCTGCGTAGCATTCTGATCTAGTTGTTTCTTTTTCTTTTTTCTTTTTTTTTTTTTTACATTATGTTGTCTTTGAACATAAAATGAGTACTTCAGTTGTGATTATTTTTTTTTTTATATTTCACTGCTTTATGACAGGAACTTGTGTATGACGCAATTGGAAGTTATGAGATACTATTGATTTGCCACTAGTTCATTTTAAAAATATGCATTTCATTAATTACTCCTGCAGGTAAATGAACACTCTAGTTTGATGCCAGTAACTGCTGAAGTGGCAAAGCTAGCGTAATTGCAGCTTTAAAAAGAAAAAGTAAATCTACTGCTTAGAGAGGGCTCCTCTAATCCAGTGTTCCCTGTGGCTGCAGACTTGGCAGTCGGTCTCAGCAAACCCTGTGGAAGATATTTTTGTCTACAGAGAAAATGTTTTGAAGAGCTTTGGTTTTCAATACTCTACCATATATGGGAGGGATTTTTTAGCATTTGATGTTAATTCTGTACCACATGTTAGGAAGGAATATTCAACAGCATAAGGCAATGAAACATTTTTGCAAAAGCAAAGAAATAGACGTAAGATATAGGGGAGGTTTTCAGAAGTACCGAAGGTACCTTGGCTCATAGTTCCTTTTGGTGTACAAATGCTGTCATAATTTTAAAATAGTAGTCTAATAGAATGTGTGCCTTTTTAAACCCAGGCTAAGCGATCATCAACCCAGTAATATTTTAAACTATACACAGAGGCTTTCATCAATAAGTCTTCAAGTACTTCACAGATTTGATGAATATTGTTAACTTGGTGAGATATTTTGAGAAACTTAAGTCACAAAAAACCTGAGCTAGCCATGAAGCTCACATCAGATTAAAACTCGGGATAAATGTGCTTATTGTTCGTACCACATATGTGCATGCTTAGCTGATGTTGGGGGAGAGGTAATTGCATTGAGGAAAAATGAATGGATACAATATGCTACAACAGATTCTCAGTGTCGATCTGTAAATATTTTGGCTGAGTTTCACTCAGATAATTCTTGATAAATGCATCTAATTTTAAAATTATTAAACAAGTTAGCTGTTTGCATTAGATGAAGCACGTAAAGAGCCACCAAAAGTGAAAAAGTATGCAGTTGTGGAAGACTGCAAATATTTTGTGTTTGTTAAAATTATTAATGGAAGTCATCACATGGACTGATCTCTTATATTCTGTCTGGGAGACAAGAACAGAAATCCTTGGGTCCCTGCAGCGTTCCTGAATAGGTTATGGAGCTACTTTTAGATCACTAAAGCAAATTAGGTGGGCTTGAGTGTTTCAGGCATTCTACAGAAAAAAAGTACTTTCTTAATCATTGTTTGTTGTAATTTAGCAGCATCAAGGGACCAAATAGTAGTAGGTTCAGCTGTGTACCCAGTGTTTGGTTATGTGATAAAAGCTCACCTGCACACCCACAAAGGAGCTTGAAGAAACAGTGGCAGGGAGGGAAGCCTCAAGAGCAGCCTGCCCTGCCAGGCTGCTCCCAGGCCCCTCACAAACACCATCAAAGGCCCATTTCCACAAGCCGAGAGGAGCTCAGGGGCACAAGGGCAAGCAGGAACTCAAGGACTCTCAAGGAATGAAGGGAGGCACAAGGACCTCCCTTGTCCCAGGAGAGCCTCAGCCCTGGTCCAGGTACAGAATGAATGGCAGGCTCAGTGTCTGAGCCCACTTGCTGGAAGGACCCACCTCGTACATGCATGTGTATATATTCTCACTAGTGGATTTTTGTCTTGCTCAGTCAGAGAGGGGAGGGGGATGAGGCCATTGTGCCATCTGTGTTAGTGTGAGTGCTCTGAGTGTCTGTGATCTGTGTGGCCAACTGTGTATGTATGCGGTGTATATGTGTGCTCTTGTGCATGTGTCTGCTGGGAACCTATCTCCAGACTCGCTACTGGTTGGACCTGGGGACATGGAGAGGCAGCAGCTTCGTATGTCTTGGACTGTTAGATCCAACGCTTATGTATTTGACTCAGAAGGTCAGAATGCAAATAGGGAGTAAGAATCCCTGGTCTAAAGACTTCTAAAGTTGAATTCACTGTGCAGCCAAAGGGGAAAATGATACCGTTCAGTAGTGCAGTGGGTAGAATAACGATCAGCAAACATTATGTTTGGGTGCCATTTTTCTGTTCTTTGAGCTGTGAGAGCTTACTAAAAATTTCCTGTCCCTGGCTGCTCACTCTCTCACCTCTTCACCTCTTCCATTCATCTTTGTCACCTTGGTTTATGCCACTGCTTTCACTGACTCTCTGAAACAGTCTTTTCAAAAAAAGAAACCACCCCATGTTCCTAAATGAAAGTGGTGGTGTTTTGAATTGGCTCCATTCTGCTTTGGAGCAGGACCTGACCAATAGACTATTTGTCAAATAGAGGTAGAGCTCACTTAGGGTGATGCTGTCTCTGTAGCATGAGCAGTTGTTGGGATTGCAGATTTAGGGGGAAGGGGTTAAAGTACTTATTTGTGGAGAGAAATAGAATTAAGGGAGGCAGAGAGAAAGAAGTGAGGAATGGAGAAATGCTGAAGAGAAAAATTTTGGGAGGGGAGTTGGCGAAGGGAGAGGAGCTGAATGGTGAGCTAACAAGAGGAAGAGGACATTTTGGATACATACTCAAATACACACATTCTCCTAGCTGGAGGGCAAGCCACCACCTCACCTGCCTTTTCCAGTCAGTGACTGGCTCTTTCTTTTTCTCTCTTTGAAGGTAAGCCTGCAACATTGATCCTAGCATTCAGGAGCTCGTCCCTATATGGCCCTTGCTCTGCAAGATACTGTCAGAAACATGTCTCGCCAGATAATCCTCACCTCCCCTTTCTCCTTCGTTTTCTGCAGTATCTGCTAAGATGCTTATTTGTCCTTTCCTGATTTGATGGAAGTATGTAGGGCTTGCAAAAGAGTATCTAAGCACCAACGATGCTAAGTCCTGATTTGAGATGGACTTTTTAGGCTGCGTTTTAGGCAGCTGTTTTGATTGTGAATTATTGCCCAACTTCATATTCTATTATTGCCTGCAGACCTTAGCTGATACAGGTCTCCTTTGCTTCAATGTTAAAACAATACCTAGGAAGATGGGACTCTCATTCCTGAAGAATCTGTCATGTCAGAAATATACAGAATTATGCGTATGTGTATACATATTTGCACACATTTCGCATTTTTTGTATATCCATACATTTTGAATAGATCGTTTCACTTATCCTCACTTGTTCCTTGAGTAACAGCTGTGCAATATTAATTGCTTATAGCTTGCCAGTGCAATGAGCAGACGGTCATTAATTCAGCCTCCATTACTGTGTTTGAGTTCTCTTATCTAGACTTACTGATTATTGGTGTTATTTGAACTTCAAGAATCTGGGTGAATATAGTTAATATTTGCTGGAAATTTAAGGGAGCTATGAAAAAGGAGTACAGGCTGGCATAAGCCTCTTGAAGTTCAGCTGTGTAAGACCGTGAAGATAAGGGAAGCAGTTTGAAAATTGCCGCTTTTGAGGCAGCATGCAGATTCTTCTATCTTCATTCAGATATGATGCTCTTGACTTAATGGGAGCCTGGCCTGAAGATGGGGCCATCGTGCATAAATATGTGCTTGCCCACACACATTCGTATTTTATTAGAAATTTTGCATAACTCAATATAATATATTTGTACCATTATGTCTTAATGGAGTGCTAATTGACTCTCATTATTTTGTACAGATACCGAGAATGTTATTGCAGGTACAGACTTGCATATGGGCTTCTGTGTATAGTGGTAAATGTTGTATGCATATATATATAAAGAATCAGTTACAACATCTGTTTTAGCTATCTTGCATGAAGCCATGTCAAACACTTTGCTAGATAAGGTGTCCACTACATATAAAGCTCTGACTCAGTTCAGTTACATTGAAAATCAATTTGAAGCAGAATTTCTTGAAGTTACAGTGATGAAATACTTGTAGTCAGTTTTCTCATTGTCTTCCGTTCCTCCCACTCGAGCTTCTCTGTCCTGAAATTCAGGGAGATAACTCTTGAAGAAATACAAATAAAGCATTACTTTGTTTGACTAAAAGCTGTGACAGTATAACAAAATTATTTACCTGTTAGCTTGTATTAATCAAATAGAGTATGCTGTCAAAGCCTGCCAATATTCGAGTAAGAACAGAACATCAATATCAACACATCATCAAACCTCCTTGGAATTACTTCTGGTGTATGCTGGCGGGGAGGTAATACACGAATGGAAAATGTGATTTTAATTACCATTGCCATTCTATGTTAATGTAAGCAAACTAAAACAAAAGTGCAGGTTTGATAGCCATTGTCTTTGTTTCACACGTACAACACCAATAATTAACTGCGGGTAATGTATTGCTTTCGACTATGGCGGACTGAAACCGTTTGGCCTTTTGCCTTGAGACTTGGAATTGGCAGTGAGTCTCTGGAACCGCTTACGGCTGGGGCAGTGTTAACAACTACTTCACGCATATCCTGCAAGCCCCGTGGCCAGAGGGCTCTGCTATTTCAGGGGAATGTTGGAATGAGCAAAGAAATAGCAGGCGCTCACTTCTTTTGGAGATGAGGCTTAAAGATCTCTCTACAGCTCACATTACTGCTATCCTAGGAAATACTTTCTACTAATAGGTTGCAGGTCTTCCTTAAGCATAATTTTATAACACTCCCTTTCATAGGACACAGATACAAAAACCATTAGGGCCTCTGTCGTAGTTGTGGTTCCTCTTGGCTTCAGTGGGGCCCTGTATGACATTTCATTACTATAAAATAAGAAAATTAAAATAATTATTATAGTGAAAGGCAGAAAAATATTCTAGTTAAATATAATCACGAAGAGTATTTATTAACTTGCTTTTACAACTATGATAGAGTTCCTAAAAAGCTGAGGTGTGGGAAAGCTACCTTCTAATGGTAAGAAAGTATTTATAAAAACAGAATGACAGCTCCAAGTGAGAGGGGAGCCAAGAGTAAGGAAAGAAAGGAGTCACACAAGATCCAGAAGAAAGGCTTTTTCCATTCCTGGTTGTTCGGAGTGATTTTAGATTTCTAGTCATTCCCTCGGGATGTTACTGGGTTCCAGACATACATTTTTTTAATCTTCTGTTAGATAAAAAAAGAAGGGAGGGAAGGAGAACAAGGATGTTCCACCAAGCCCACCAAAAAATTATGCCATCCTTAGTAATTTGGGGTTTTGAGCTTAAAGGATTCAAAAAACTGAACAAAAGCACTATGTCAGCTGATCAAGCATAAGCTTTGTTTATGAATGGTGTCTTTCTAATGCATACAATGAAATTATTTTACAGGGCAGATTATTGATTAGTATTACTCTGGAATGCTTAATCTTTCATCTTGATTACTTGTTTGTTTTTTCTAATTAGCTATTATTAAGCAGTCTTGCAGGTACCAGAATGTATATATTTCCCTAGTGGATTACGTGTTAAATAATTGCTTTGTTAACTTACTTTCTTTGAGGTTTATTGTTATTTAAAGCTTGTGAAATTTTATGTATTCTGCTAAATCTGCAAAACTTGCAAATTTACACATTCCTGCAGCAGTTCCCTAACTGCATGCTTATTTTCATGTGTGTTTGTCCTATCTCACCCTGTGATATGTCGCATGGGCTTGCTCCCTTTGTCTGGGGCTGCTGTCTGTATTGTTTTGTGCTTCCAGATAGCGGTGGGTGTGCTCGCAAACGTGCCGCAATGTCTGTCACATTAACAGCTGTGAAGAGAGTTCAGAGTTCTCCAAACCTATTGGCCTCAGGTATAACCACTAAGCAGTGAGATACTACTCCCGAATGGCTTTTCTGTAGTCT